ATCTATCTATCTATCTATCTATCTATCTATCTATCTATCTATCTATCTATCTATCTGTCTTAAAAGAAAGTAAATTTCTGAGCAACTTACATAAAGCTATGCTCTTTGTCCTCCTTGCTCCCACGGTCTGGGCCACTGACTTCATTGTCCACCTGGTCTTGCTGACTCCTCGAGCCCTCCACAGAATTATGATCCGGTCCTGGCCGCTTCTGCTGCTGGGCCTCAGTCAATGCATCACTGATGAATAGCCCCTCATGAGTGAGGTAGGCCAGCTCAGCCTCCCCTTGCAGGAACAGTGGGTCCTGAGATTCATCTTGGCTCGACGCCCCCAAGTTTGTCAATACCTGGCTCTTCTGAGTTGAGGCAAGAACTTCCACGGCCACATTCCTTATCACATTTAGAGTGGCCTTGCAGATACACAGAAAAACAGAACTTATTTTATTTTAGAACGAGTCTGGAGCGTTTAGGCACAGTGTTGACCCAAACAGCAACTGATTCTATCCTGACTGATGGGTCACTTACTTTAAACTGCAGCATTTCACTCACCTTGATTCTTTGCAGAAAGAGAATTAAATTGTTGAAAACATTTTCCAGAAGCTCAAACCACTGAGGGAATGTCATCAGACGCATCTGGTCAGCTAGCCTGAATAAATAAATACATCAATAACTTTTTTTTTTAAATTCAGAAACACATGCTTGGACTATTTCTCGGCATAGAACACTTCAGTGTATATAATATAATATAATAATATAATATTCTTGCAAACAGAATCCTGTTTTCTTTTATTCTTAAATTGTACAGAACAAGGGATGCAAAGCTCTTCAATTAACATTATTCACAGACAAAAAGGCAATATGTATAATTTTTTGAATGATAAAATGATGACTAAATGAAGATCTAACATGGTATAAATATCAGAAGCATTTTAACAGAAGTCATCCAACCTCTTTAACTTCAACAACTAAACTTACTTGAGGACAGCTTCCGTATCAATTTCTTCAATGTTCACAAGAGTTGCTGCTACACACTGTGAACGCAAACAGGTTTTCCTTTCCGTTAGTGTGGATGCAATAATGCGTCATTGTAAAATAAATGGGCCTTTTATTACGTCGACACAGACATCGGGTTTCCTACCTGTGAGACGATGGCTTTTGCGGCTATGATCATCTCATTGCTGTAAATGTCTAGAAAGTCCAGCTTTCTCTGCCGCAGCAGACCAAACACCAGTGACTCCAGACGCTCCTTGAAGACACACACAGACACACAAAAGAAACATAACACAGAAGAAACATTGAGCTTAAATCTCAAACATAATTTTTTAACTCCAAAGACATGGTTTTAAAAAAAAATGCTCAAAAGTGTTGAAATTTTGGGAGTTACAAGTAAAAATATGTCAGATACTTAAGAGGTAATTTCTTAAGAGAAAGATGCCATTGCTGATAAAAATTGATCACTTGTAAGCATTAAGTACTTCTGACAAAAATATTTAAAGTTCTACCAAGTAACCAAGAGGTCAGCATAAAAAAATTACAGCAGAGAAAACTGTATTGACATTTGAAATAAAAAACTTTTAATTGAACTGAAATATACAATCACTGCCATTTTAGCTGTTTTTTTTTCCGCACAATTAGATTTTTTTTAAACAATAAACTCTATGTATGTGCATCCAAACAGATTAATGACTAATCCACATCCTGTTTTCCTGCTTCTTAAGCACAGTAGACAAAATTTAAAGGATCTTAAATAACTTAATTTGATGCAGGTTTGATGTGTACCAGCTGTGTGCATGTGTGTCCCACATTTGGAGAAGCAACATTTGATTTGTGGACCTGTGATCAGCATGGCCATCCATTAAATATAAAATTCAGTAGTCACAAATATGACTCAGTTACTAGTCAAATAGTTCCAACTATGAATAGCAAGTGTGAATCTTTCTTACACTGTTTGAAGCTGGAATTTGTGGATAACGATAAAGGTTTTGAACATTTAGCATGCTATACAGATGGCTTTGAAAAAGAAAAAAAAAAAAGACTAGAAAATCTAACCACCCAAGCCTATTTTTGCAGAGAGAGTGGGATACATAAAATTGGGCTTACAGTTATGGTGCTATACTGATTTCTAAATGTTGAAAGTAAATGTTTTCAGAAATATTTCTAACATAAATAAGGAAAGTAAGTCACATCCAGATGTTTGAGAAAAGACTCACATCATTTCACTTTAGTGTCAACATGTTTCTATCTTGACAAAATAGGTCAAAGCATAAAGGATCATGAAAACTTTAAGGGAGAATACACAGAGGCCTAGAACAGAGTGAATAAGGGGTTTGGTCAGACCTTCTCCATAACTTGTGGTTCCTCTAGCAGACTTCGGTTTAGGTCACTGCGGGCGTACATACTGAAGTCCTCCACCATCATCTTATCGATCAATTTCTCCAGCTCACAAAGCTGGGAGCCGAGATGTCTGAGGGACATGCATAACAAGACATGTGATACCTGTATCATAGTTTTGATATGTTATGACTGAAGATATTCTTACAGCATTAAGCTCACAAACATTCCTTAAAATAAAAGCAACCCCTTGCCTGAAGCTGTGGATTCCTTGAAGTTCCTGTAGAAGCACTTCCTTGGTGGTGGCGATGAGTTCCAACGCGCCAACAAACTCTGAGGTAGAGAGCAGCAACTGCACGGTGGGCTGTGTCTGATGCACGGCTGCCATCAGCTTCAGCTTGTTGTGCAGCTTCACACAGTTGTTGCGAGTGAGACCGGTGCAGAGGGCCTTGAGAGGTCCCTGGCACATGACCCGATCCATGGCTGCCATGCGGCCTCGCAGCACGGCAACGGCTCGCTGCGTCTCTTGCAGCCTGTCCTGCAGCTCGTGTTGTGAGGACATGGCGTGGAAAAAGGCCTCCGATCGCAGCGATATCTGTCGAGCAATGCTGACCTCCACGACGTCCAGGTAGTGACTCAGCTGGAAGGAAATAAAAGTATGAAACTAAGCACACGGGAAATGACAGTGCGCCCGTTTTCCACTGCTGGTTGTTAATCACATTTATCTGTCTATATTTTATATCTGCTCTGAGAGCTAAAGCCTATAGGGATCATATAGAGATTTCAATTCTCGTACTATTTATAGTAAGAGATATAGGTAATACAGGTACTATTACAGGAAATCCTTAGTGTATGTTTGCTTCGATTCTTTAATAAACAAAGGTCTCCTGAGGATGAGGGACTTTGAGCAATTTCTCATCACTGTTACCCACAGTGACGATAGTCCAACCAAGATATGTCTGAAAGCTTCACAGGATTTCAACGAGAAAGTCTCCTCTGGCTGATTCATGCATGTATTTTTTTGTGGAGAGTTCACCTTTTCCTGTAGCAGCTTGGATGATGCCACATCTTTCCCTCTAGCACTGTGAAAGTGTGACCAGGGCAAGACAGAGTTGAAGGTAGCCGGGTCCTCTAGAGCAAAGTCCGGTCGCATGAATATCTGGACAAACATGCCGCACAGAAAACAGCGAGTCACCCAGCGCTAATGCATAACTGTAAAGACAGCCTGTTGTAATCCTGTAAATGAGAGTTTTCTATTGCTGTGCCACATCTATGCAAGTTTCCCTTATTATTAGTTATTGAAATGATTCAGTATGTTGCACGTTTGTACCAACTGCTGCTGAAGTGTGAGATGACACTTGTTTTGATCGTATTAATGACACAGCATCAACATTATCTGTGTCTGCATTAGTCACTCTGTTGTAAAACAACTAGCATGAACTGTATCAGAAGAGCCCTGTGATGGACTGGCGACCTGTGGATGTCAGCGTGGATAGGCTCCAGTAACCCTGTGACCCTCCCAGGATTTAGCAGTACAGATAATGGATGGACGTATCACAAGACACGTCCAGTATTTAATGATGACCAACAAAAGTACCTCAGCTGAATAATTTAGCCTTATGAAAATATCTCACAGGTGACAACAATAAACCACAGAATACCTGAATGGCTTAATAGACAACATGCTTCTTCAAAAGCAGTTGTGTTAATGTGTCACTGTCCTAACAGTTTATAGACATCACACTTGAAGCACTTCAGATCTGGATAACTTTTGCTCTTTATAAAAGTTTTAAAAAAGCAGTAGAAATTAGGGAACCCCACTTTAGTGGGGAAAAATATCAGCTCTGTGCATATGTACATGCATATAAAAATATCTGCGCATATGCATGCACTTTATTTGTAAGCAGTGTAACCCTGTTTTTGTGTAGCTTTGGGTACCTTTGATGTCTAAAAAATTAATTGTAAACTGTAAAAAACAGTCCAGTCTATTTTCTCCCAACACACTTCCAACTTAGGTGTGAAGTAGAAATCTGGTAAAATTTTGCACATATTCACAATTATTTTACTGTTAAAATAAATAAAGACCATCACAAATAAACACAAATAAATGCCTGTCAACACTAAATCTACATATATATAAACTATACAAGTAGAGAAAAAGGACATTGTGTTACCTTTGGGACTTGTTCCAGCTCATCTCTTGATTTGTCTGCATGAAATAACAAAAGTTCTGATTTGCAATAAGTATAAAAAATGAAATAGCATTGAAAAAAGTAGCAAAAAACTAATGAAAAGACCATATCCTTATATGGATGCATTGAAAATGTCATGGGGAATTGCCTTCCTCTAGCTACCAGTCAATTTGACTTTACATGCATTTATTCTCACAGTCTTTATTTTAGGCAACATTTTAGACATCAGGTTGAAATCTTTTCATCCAAGAATTTGAGCCTGACTTGTCCGAATTTCCACCATGTTGCTCTGATATACAAGACAACCAGACATATAATAGAAATTCCTCACCATTATTTCAAGAATACAATGCTCACAATGAAGCATAAATAACTATTTAAAAAAAATCTTTCAGGTAGCTTAAATTTGAAAAAAGAAAATCTTCATATGAAATATATCTCAAATCTAACAGGAAAGCCAAAGCAAAAAGCATCTACTTTCGAATTAAAGAAGCAGCCGTTGTGGAGTCAGTAGTACACTGTACAAAGAAAAGAAAACGGCAAATCAAATGCTATCTCACTAAAGTGGAAGACTATTTGTTAGGGTTATAAGCCTTGGCAGGATCAGTGAAAGTGTGACGATAGAAGGAAAAACTGATCAAATGGGTTGCTGGATAAAATTATTTGGTCTGACAAGTTAATTATTGGCTCCTTTTTGCCAATCAACACCAGTCTTTAAACCGTTACCCTTACAGTTCTCAGTATAGAACAGATACTGTTAAGTAATAAATTCAGTAATGTTTTTTGCCACATATCTTTAGTGTTTCAGAGTTGTGCCTTCACAATGGTAGTCTAATGCGTAGATAACATAAATCACAGAAAATTGACCAGCAAAGAGATTATGTGAACAGTCACTGATTCCCATGAGAGCCCTGCAACAATAAATAATTCATACCATGGTTTGTGGCGATACAGGAGATAACATCACCATCGTCTTTGTTGGGACATATCGTCTTGCAGCGTTCATGAATTCGTTCCCTCTAGACATAAAACAATTTTCGAAAAAATAAATGAATTCAGACGCTTAAACAACCCTAAAGCAAGAGATATTCACTAAAATAAAAAATGATTGTTGTGCATTGCGAGAAATAAAAAAATGTTTGCATTTAAAAAAATTAATTAATTAAAAAAATTAGACATACACACACACACACACACACACACATCTTTGTCTTAAGGAAACGTATTGCAATGGGACTGACCATCTAAAATATCACATAAATTAATCCCTCAAAGGGCAGAATATTTTTGCTTGGAGGTACCGAGCTTCACAGATAGTTCACTCTTAAAAAAAAAAAAAGCAAAGCCCTGAATTATTCAATATCCATTTTACCTGAGTCATCTCCTGCAGGTAGGGCCCAAAATGTTCTCTGGTGATGTTGGGGAGGTAGAAAGAGGGCATCACCTCCGTCTCTGTGAAGTCCAGTCCCCATGATTTGGTAAAAAAGTCGGACTCCCGTTTGGACAGCCGTGGGTCATTTAGTGCAGCGGGGAGGTTAACCTTAGAGCTGTATACTGTCCACTGGTCATGTTCTGCCACCACAGACGGACCATTACACAGGCCTCGTGATTCAACTGCAGTTTCAAATAAAAAAGAGAGCAAAAAAAAATGAGGTGATCTAAAAGGATTACCGTACTAATTTATTTCAACCATTTGAGATTTATAAACTTTAAGATTTTTATTCATTCATTTATACATAGCCAACAAAAAAAATATATATATATATATATATATATATATGTTTTAAAATGTCAAATACCCCTGTGTAAGACTACGTCGACTCTTATTAGCAGGATGCCAAATTACAGGAAGGTTGTGTACCATTTACCAACAAAGTCGTACACGTGATCATTCCTAATATGAACGGCAACCATCAACAGAAACAAAGATGGCCATTGTAAGTTAATGTTAAATTTAGTGCATGGCTGTGTTATCCACTATCCAGGTACTGTATGTACTGTATGTAGAAAAAAGAAAAGAAAAAAAGACTGCTGAAAGGGAAAAGAATTCTAAAAATGCTTCTAGTGTGAAGTCGGTGTTGGTATGTACTCTGGTGTTTCAATATTGTGTTCTATGACAAAATTAGATGACCATAAAAAGAAAATATTCTACCAGCTTATTGCTGAAGTGCATAATTAAAATGGAAAAACCTAAAAACTAAATCCAAATTCTGCGATTTAGAGACATAGGAACCAGCTACATTTCACACATATCTCTTAAACAGGTGTCTTTGAAATTGGTGCAATAAAACACGATAGGTTTGTAAATCAACTAAGCTATCACATTTGTGAAGTTTATAGTGAGATGGTAAGTGTGTGTAGTGTGAAGTGTGGAAATTTCTCGTACCAGTAGGCTCCTTGGGGCAGACATCAGGCAAGGAGCGCATCGGCCGACAGCTAAGTGGGGAGAGGCCCTGCTCCTTGAGATGAATCTCATCTCGGCGTCTATTTGTGGAGCGAGGCACTGGGGAGGACCTGTGACTTGAGGCCATGGCATTGGGACTTACCTCCGAGAAGGCTAGCTGAAAAGAAAAACAGAGTTCTTAACAGAAAAAAGGAACAATTACTCAAAAAACTAAATTAACTGAAATGGACTGAACAAAAGTATGATTTTTAGAAGGATTTTTTTTAGTGTGATTTTTTATCACTTCGACTCACAAGGTTTGAATCTTACTCTACTCACTAAAGACCAATAAACTTGTTTTAAAATGTAAAAAAAAAGATAATTGGGGGAATCTTAAATGATATATCAATATTTGCCTGCCCTACTGATGGTTCTAAGCAGTTGGATCCTATATAAGGATTAGAGTTAAACTAAAACACAGTGTTCTTGCTCAGTAAAACGCAGAAGTTAAAAATCTTTAGTATCAATACCTTAAAAACAGAAAAGGAACAAGGCTTATGAAGCTTTAATACTTGCACAAAATTGCTGCATAGAGTGCGTAATAATTGTTAAATAAATTTAAGTTTACATCACAAACAAGAGCATAAAAATACATTTTCTTCACTCTAACAAATGTATTAATCTGATCTATGTCTTAATCTTGAGTTAATACTTGTCAAGACTGTCAGAAAAAAAAAATATGCAAAAGGAATAATAAGTTTCAAACCAACACAGGGAGTTGAGGCTTTGAGTGACATAACAGTTTAACTACAGAGTAGTCTAATGTGTCAAATCTTTAACAACTGTACATCAGCATCCATCAAATCCATCCACCCATTGTCCATACATATGTATGGTCTGTGGGAGGAAGCTGATATTCCTGAGGAGAACCCATACATAAACAAGGAGGATATGCAAACTCTTCACCAGGGGTGTCAAACTCCTTTCCTCTAGTTTCGCTGTCCTGCAAAATATAGGCATTTTCCTGCTTCTGCACACTTGATTCGGATTCTGTTACATCTTCTCTATCCATCGTTGAACTTTGCACAGGCCTGCTAATGGCACATCGATGTGAACCAGGTGTGTCGAAACAGGCAAACTTTATAAAAACCTGCAGCACAGCGGCCCCTCGAGGTCCAGAGCTTGACACCACTGCTCCCCCACCCGAGGGGACCCCCTTCTGTTAATGTCCTCACACGGATGAGGGATCAGAAGAAACCAATGCACCCTCAACATTGCAAGAAGAAAGTAAAAAAATAATCATTTAAAGGTATAACACTTCATGCTTGTCAAATTTCAGTCCACACACAGAGCATATTAGTTGAATTTCCACCATCCTTGCACAAACTGAAACTTTCATCCATTGTTATGGCAGCAGAGACATAATACTAACAATAGTGAGTGAGTTTCTACCATAACTTTATCAAGTTTAAGGCCTTACAACTGCAGGCTGCAAACGGAATGAATTCTCTTGCATGTCCTGATAAAATTGTCAATAAAAATAGCCCTAAAATGATTAAACATTCCACCTTTTTTCAAAGAAAAGACTCATTCTCAATGTTTCGGCAAGTACTGGCGTCGTATTTTTTTTTCATCCATTGTTTAACCCATTAATAATTTAGCCTGTATGTTGACTTGTGCACTTAGCTTATAAGCAACTAAAGATAACTGCAATATTCGGACACGACAAGTGTCTTAACGTATGCTTGATACAATAATATAAGCATAATATTTGACAGCATTGCTAAGAATTGGTTTATTTCAAAAGCATTTAACCCAATTTCACATACATATAAACAAAAGTATCTGTCATTGCTGCAACAGCAATGAAAAATACAACATTCCTTTAACCTATCATCTTTTTTCCGTAATGCCTTAGCGATAATAATGACACAAAACAACTTGAACGTTACCTTTTGTAATAGGTTTGTTTTGTTGATATGAACGATCGGATCAGAGCTATATCTCTACTCAGGTAAGACTTCTGTGACAGGAGCTTTCCAGCTAGCTTTAGCCTGGCTGCGTAACATTAACTAGAATTAAAACTGTGCAGCTGAGGAAGTGGAAGTGCCGATAACAGAGAAACAAAAAAACACTTGCACTTTCGATGTCAGATGCTGATCAAGTAGAAAATGAGTTACACGCTCTTGTTAAAGCTAGTCTTGTCAGACACGGTTACACGTAGACTGGTTATTGCTAGCACGTTAGCTACACAGAGCTACCGAACGAACTAGATGTAACAAGCCATAACCCTCAGGAAGTTAAGCGATAGTAGAGTTTCAGCCTTATGCGTACCTGTCATGTGAAACACGGCAGCCGATATCACGCCTTTTCACCATCAGAGGAGCATTAGAAGAACCATGAACACAATAAATTCCCTAACAGAGGAAGGTAGCACCGGTACACCGACCATCATGCACTGCGAGGAGTGGCAACAGAGGCGTTTACTTCAAAATAACTTTCTGTCACCAAAGCTTGCTGCTTCCACCTACTGACCAACACTTTAAATGTCGCATAATTTGGGCTACTTAATGTTAATCAAAATCAGTTTCTACGAGCACTTCTTCAGGACACTGATGGCGTTAGTTAAGGCTAACCAAAATATGTCAGTACAATATTTTCTTTAAGCTGAAAACAAGCATAGACTGAAAAAATAGTCACACCGTGTTAAATTCTAGTTTGCAGGTTACTGGAAAACTGACGTTGCAATTAAAGTAAACCTGTAAATATGATATACCATATCTAAAGCTGAATATTTCTGAATCATACTTAATATTTTACATTGAAATAATAGGATTTAGGGGATAGTGAAACTTCAATAATAAGGGCCCTTGGTAAAACTATTACTCTGAGATGGAACATTGACTTAAGAAGTCATTGTTTATTGATAATTCCAATAAAATAATTTGATCCAAGAAGGAAAACACTATATTAAACTACGAAAAGCTTCCTGCAAAACAGCTGTGAGAATGCTGATATGGTGAATGAATGCACCAGAAAATGCTTAGTAAAGTGGATAAATACGGAAAAGTAATTATCTGAAGTACACATAATAATGTGATATGAAGTATTCTGAGAGTTTGAAGTTATGAAGCTCTTAAAAATAAGATGAAGTGAAGGAAAATTCATTGAAATCAGAGGGGGGCTCTTTTATTGCATCTGGATCAAACTGGTTTTATAAAAGGAAGACAGTCTTCGACTAATACAAGCAGGCTAATCAACCTCAACGTTGCTATCATGAACAATGTGGATACCACAATTGTTTCACTAGATGCAGAACAGCTTTCAATTGTGTAAATTGGAAATTCTTGTTTTCAATACAGTACAAATTTGAGGTTGACTTATTCTGCATAAACTTAATGAGAATTTGATTTAGTTCTTAGGACTGTTAGCTACATTACTTTATTGGAAGCCTGAGAGTAAACCAGAGAAACAATCAGGGTAGAAATGTGAAATTTATTCATGTCAAATGTAAAGTATATCGTGCTGGGCTCTAACTGACAAAACTCGCTGAGGGTCTTTGTCAGACCCTCGAGTTCCGGGTGTAATGGACATTGGGCTGGCCACTAGGAAGGCTATACGCATCCGAGTCTTATTAGCCAGTACGCTCTGACATCCTCAGGCCAGCTCCCAATTCATGCTGATTCCACTAAGATGTGATAAAAACAATGTGTGTGTTTAAGTGTTGTCCTTGACCACATGTATCTAATGTCCCATTGAAAGACAAGGAATTTGGAAGTGCAACCGTAGCCATAACGTACGCTCAGTGTCTTAGCATAATTCTTAAAGTGAGCAAAAGCGTTCAGTAAATTACAAGAAAATCAAATTACATGAAATCAGGAATAAAGTATACCCTAAAGTTAGTGAATATAAGCTAATCCTAACAAGACCAATGATTAAACCTCTCGCACCTTCAGTCGGCAGAGGCACAACAAAAGGGTGACCACTCTCCCCTTCCACTCTTTGCGATATTTACAGGATCCCTTGTAAATATTGCAAAGAGGCTGCCTCAGACTTGCTACTCAACCTAAGGAGTGTGGTGGCGGATGTTGGGAAGGTTCTGGGTTGCGGGAATGTGGTCAGACCAGTGGGTGCCCTCCAGGGAGTGCTTAGGCTAGGCAGGCTTTGGGCCCTCCAACCTTCTGGCAGTTGCTGGGGAACAGGGGTGCAATTGCTGGCCATTTGGCCTCATCATCTGAGATGAGTCATTCTTCTCCCGGTCTCACATACTCCCACACCCTTCTCCTCAAACTTTATGAACACACTCTATGGCCCCCCTTTCTGAATTGTGGGACCACCACCCCGGTCTGCAAATCCAGTGGAACCGCCCCCGATGTTGCAGATTCACATCAACTAATACAACCCTTTAACAACCAGAGCCATGAGGAACTATGGCCGAATCTCATCCACCCCTGGAGCTCTGCCTACAAGCTTATCTCGTTGACCTCCAAATTCGTGCCACGTCCGAGTTTTTGCCTCGGCAACCACCCGGGCCGCATGCTGCTTGGACTGCCGATACCCATCAGCTGCTTCCGAAGTTCCACAGGCCGAAAAGACCTGATGGGACTCCTTCTTCAGCCTGAGGCTATCCCTCACCACTGGTGTTCACCAGCAGGTTCAAGGGTTGCCGCCACGACAGACACCAACAACCTTTCTACTGCAGGTTCGGGAAGCCGCCTCAGCAAGACGCGAACTCACTCAGTTCAGTGGATAGACATTTGTACGTGAAATATAAAAGTTAATACTCTTTTGTTACATTGGTTTCACAGTTTCCTCCACTTGTGTGGAAAAGGTGACTGTCTTTACCTTGTGCAAAACGGGAATAACACGCAGTTTTGTGCGCATTTACCTCTTCCTCAGAAACTCGAAGGGCATGGCCTCTGTAGTAACATGTAATGTGGCTCGATAGTTCTGCAAGAACCCTTCACAGTTTCATTCCATGGCCTGTGCATTTTGTCAGCTGTCTGTAGGTACTTTGAGCACCCTGTTAAACCTTTTGATGGCTCTGTCAGCTCTTGGATGGTAGGGCATAGGTGCTTAATCTCTCTCTCCCTCAGAAAAGTGGCAAGGACATGCATCTATTGTCCGAAACTAAGTAGGAGGGATTTCCTTCCTGGCTGTAAACAGAGGTCAGAAATCAAATAGCTACATCAGCCGTGAATGTAGGGCAAATGTTACTTCAGGCCACTTACTGTAATAGTCAGTAAGAGTTATGGCATATTGGAAGTCCCATGAAACATGTTGAAAGAATCCTGTAATGTGAATGTTAATCTTTTCCCATAGTGGTGCATGTGCAGTTTTTGAAGTTTTATCAACATACTGGCATGGCACAAATAAAGCTATCATATCATATCAAGAGTCAATATGGAGGATGTAGTTCTCAAATGTCTTGAAGTATATAGTGAAGAATATAGCAGTCTTGCCTGGACAGGGCATTAAAGATATAGATGGAGGGACGGAAATGGCCGTCCTGGTTTCCAAAATGGGATATTTAGTAAAAGTGGGCAATGAACTTGGGGGAGACTTCTCTGTCCATCACTTCCATCTCTTTATTACTCCTCATCGCTTGCTAAACATTTCATTAAATGGATAAAGTGTTGATATTATTTGCGCAATTGTCTTGAAAGAGTTTTAAAAGCATTTGCTCCATGGAAAAAACGCCACACAAAAACTGCACTTAATTTCCTACTCAGTCTTGTGACAGTGTGAACCCGCGTATTTGTCTATTGACGCCTCCTACAAAACCGGCCGTTAAGTTGGCAATCCGATTTGCGAAAATTGTTGCCAATATCAAAGAAACAGAAGAAATGTTTGGTTAAATAAAAAAAAATTAAAAACCCGTGTTCATTTTTGGATGGAACATTATCAAATTGAAAGGGGAAAGGGAATGCGACGGAGCTTGATTGCTTTTGACGTAACAGAGAGAGAGAGAGAGAGAGGTGTGCATGAGCAACTGATGTGAGAGCCTTATTGTGTGAGCTGGAGGGCACATGAGGCAGGTTGGAGATCTGCGTCAGAGGTAAACCAGTTGACACGGGCATTCGGAGGCTGACAAACTGGATCTGCAGCTCCTTTCAGTGCTGTTTGCTTCCCCCAGATGAACATGGCTGAGTCGCACAGAGTGACAGCTCAAGGCAGGAAGGTAAGTTTAGACGGTCGGTCGGAGACGGTTGACACATTGTCAGAAAGAACCGCAAGTTATTTTGACAATAAACTGTCCGTGAAGTCATTTTGATTTGTCATATGGCAGCTCAGACACTTTTTTTAAACCTGCGTTTCAAGTAAAGAGTGAAACTCGCATAGAACTTACTGATATCAAGTTAGCAGAAGTGTCCAAAAATTCCAAGATGAACTAATAAAATAAAAGCCTTTGTAGACCACAACTCACATGTTTTTAAATAGTATGCCAGTGTATTAAATGAAAAAGCACTGCTCAGAATACAGTTAGGGGAAGTAATTATGTATACAACAAATGTAGTGCATAGATAAAAAACATGCCTAATATGTGGTGTTGAGCTAAATTATATAAGAGCAACTGGCATTTACATAATAATTACCAAGTTTCATGTAAGAAATACCTGACAATTGATACATTTGAGAAGATCATATTGAAATAACGTCCCCCTTGTCATTCTACTGCTTTTAGATCCGTTGATAAGGATGCTGACGATTATAATTCAGTCCTGATCAACAGTATAATTCAGAACCTGAATGGCTTTTAAACCAGAAAAGTATGCCCTATTTTTAAAAAAATGTTGTCATTCCAAGTCTTGTAAATGACCCAAAGGCAGACATCTGTTTTTAGTTTAAAAAAAAGATCTGTTGAAATTTTAAGTGTTTATTGAAGTGTTTATTTTGAATGTTACCCGTAATTCGTTCAACTTCCGATTCTGGACAGGATTTGACACAGCACGTGTTCCTCACAGGTTCTGCGACATTCCAACAATAATGTTATTAGTAATGTCAGCAAATCGTTTCTAAAGCAAAATACAAAAAGTAAAATGACAATATATATATATACATTGTCATTTTACCTTTTTTATTTTGCTTTAGAAACTATTTGCTGACATTACTAATAACATTATTCTATTCTATCTATTTTTGTTTATGTCTTTGGAGAACTTGTTTGATGTTCTACATTCTTCTATATTCAATTGTTTGCATGTAAAACCTTTACAAGCCTCAGTCATCTAGTTGGGATTCGGAGCTTTTCAAAAGCTCAAACAGATGTGAAATAATTTCTGCTTCTGTTTTAGAGATGGAGTCTCCCACCTAGAACTGAAGCGGATCAAAGTAAGCCGAGAGCTCCCTGGTCTGGCAAAGAAGCTGAGAGGAAACTGGTAATTTGATCGTTCCATTTATCACATAAACAGCCTCTGAAATAGTGATGTCGGTCGCATACGATCCAGCTCCTGAGAGCCGATTTGCTTTTGGA